GCACACAGCCTCCCAAGGTGACCTCATGACCTTGACGTACGGCTGACCTGATGAAGGTCACACCTGACTCGTTAGCTCGTGCGTGGGCGTGTGCGCAGACGCCCACGGTTCGCCGCTCTCGCTGTGTTGTCACGCAATTCTCATTATTCATCTACGAGGGGGACCGGCTACATATCGATTAAATTCCAGCACGGATACCGAGAGGAGGGGCAGACGGACAAGGAAGGAGTGCATGATGACGCATATAACGGTCAACCATCTTTAGAGTTCTACCAGTGGTCATCGTACGTAGTGACCCGCGATGACCTCAAACCAAGATGGCGGGGATGTGGGTTTACAGCAGTATGGACAGTCGGTCGGTCGGTCGGTCGCGCGGTTTCTGCCGTACATACACCGTATTTACACGCCAGCAGAGCAATTTCCCGTTCTGCGCTATGACTACGATATCGATCCTATGTGAGGGGAGGAGAGAGGAGGGGAGGGGAGGGGAGGGGAGGGAGGGAAGAGGAGGTGAGCGTATGTCGTATGTGTATATGTGTATGCCGGCGTGGGTTCCCTGATAGCGATTAATGTGCGGGGATGTAATAGTGGCTCATTGATTCTTGTCGTATAGCGCTCCCAGCACGTCTTCACGTCGTATATATTATGTACCACCTTGGTGTTTACGCTCCCGTACGCTATGCTTACGGCAACGTGGCGGTCGCCCCTCCCCTCCCGTACGTGCGCCGTCTAAAGCGGGAGGGAGGGACTCGAACCTGTTACCGCTGTTGTCTGGTGTTCGAGTCCCGGTAGCAGACTGCACGTACTGCGGAGACGGAAGCCACGGCTGGCTTCCCCGCATCGAATAAAACTATGCCGAAATAGCTACTGAATATTTAACTTCATTATTACATGGTTCGTTCTACTTACATTATTGGACTTACAAAAATCTCAGACACACAGACACAGAACACAGATACACAGAACAAAACGAAATAGAAACAGAACGAAAACAACACAGCGCCCCCTATTTTCAGGCAAATCTTTACCTTTTTTTTGTCTTTTTTAAGACCGAACAAACGGTTTTCAACCGAGTATAGTTTAGAACCCGTCCCGTGTACTCATCGATCTCTTCTGTGAATTTTGCGCTATTTGGATCCAAACTGACGGAGCCTTTCATTAACATACATACATACATACATACATACAACATTCGCCAAATTATAGTAAGATTGCTGATGTAGTATAGCCTACACTCATGCAAGGCATGGCTGCCTACATCAGGGCTATAAATTCGTAATTGTGAAATTATGGAAACACAGACATATTTCTGAAATTGAGAGTTGGTAAATTTAGATATCAATACTCAACGGACTGCTAATGGATTATCGATTAGCATGAATTAATAATGCGTAAAGAGGTAAGCACTACGAAATACTTCACTTGTGTATCGTTATAGACGTATCCTCGTGTAGCTAAAACATCTGCTACCTCTGCATTCTTTAATTGCTCTCCCAGATGCTATTAACAGCTTGATGAAGCGTAATTAAAGGCGCGTTTGTTTGGGACGAATCCGTCTGATCGAGATCATATGATCCTGATCCGACCAAACAAACGCAAAACTTTCACCGGTTCACGTTTCGCTGTGACCTATCACGGGATGGTTCATTACAATAAACAAGCTGTGATTGGCTGAGGCGCGGGCTGCCATATTGGATCCCGTTCGAATCCGGCTCGCTAGCAGGGTCGGGTTCGTTGGATCGAGATCAAGTGATCCGACCAAACAAACAGTCAGATCAACAAATCCATCGGATCGAGATCCGTGGATCCGACCAAATAAACGCGCCTTTAGGGCATAACTCTGTATGATCATGATTCCGTACAATTTAATTTAGGCAATAGCGAAACAATTGAACCGATTATTAATAGGCCCTACCGTTTCAATTTCGTATGGTAGGAAAACAATTGTGGCGTAGTAGATTATGCTAGGTTTACATTTACCGCGTTCACGCGGTCATGGTTTGGCTCGAGCCAAATTGGCTAAATTTGGCTCGGGCTAAATTTGGCTCGGGCCGGTTTGAGTCGGAACGTTCGCACGTACACAAGGGAATACTGTCTGTCAAATTCAAATTCAAATTCAAATATATTTTATTGCACAAATATCTCACAGATACTTTGGCAGTATGTCGCGAGATGGCGGTGTGTACGATTCAGAGTGTTTACGATCCGTTCCGAGTTCAATTATCAGTCTTGAAAACGTGCATCCTGATCAAATTTTTCGAATTTTTATACTGTTTTGGACTTTATTTCGTCGAAGTACATGTTCGACACGCGACATCTACCGCTCAACCGATTTAGCTGGTGCTAAAATTTGGCTCGGGCCGGGTCCGACGTTTTTGATGGGACCAAATTGGCTCGTGCCAAATTGGCACGGCCCAAAAAACCATCCGTGTGAACGCTCGGCTCGAGCCAAATTTGGCACGGGCCCAATTAGGCTCAGGCTAAAAACGTCCGTGTGAACGCGCCTATTATGTTCCCGGCGGCCACGGCAGCCCTGTTTGCCCGAAACGTAGTGCGCCGTGGGATTTTGGCCATTTTTTCTCTGTATTCAAGTTTTGTTACAAGTTGAGTTAGGTCTTGCCAAGTTTTCTCACGGTCTATCACGGTATCCGTGACGGGCCTTGGGGGGGAAAGGGGCTCCAAAGGGGGAGGGGGAAAGGAGGCTCCAAGGCGCACTACGGTTCGGCCCGCGGTCTACCACGGATGCCAGTACGTTCCATCCCGACCCGTCACGTTCTGATGGGGTCCCTCACGTTTTTCACGTTCTGATCAAGGTCTGACACGTTTTTCACGTTCTGTCAAGGCTTTCTACGGATGAAACGTGGACGCCGGGCAGCTTTGGAGCACGTTTGTGCCCACGGTATAAAAAGAAGGCCTCTCGAGCAATAGCAATAGCGGGCAAAAACCATAATCTGCGTCGGTCTGAGCGGAAAGAGTGCGACTGCTCTGCATGCATCGTGTCCGTCTCGCTTGACACGGCGTATGTGTTGACCGGAGTGTGTCACACATGCCTCTGTCCTCCCAAGGATGCCCTATCAGGACCTTGACGTACGGCCTGACCTGAGAGGTCACACCTGAACTCGTGAGCTCGTGCTGGCCGTCGGCGTGTGCGCAGACGCCCAACGTCCGTCCAGTCTCTCGCTGTGTGTCATCGCAATTCTCATATTCATTTCTACGAGGGGGACCCGGCTACATACGATAAATGCCAGCATCGGATACCGAGAGAGGGTAGACGACAAGGAAAGAAGTGCATCGATGATCGTCATATAACGGTTCGAACTCATCTGTTACGATGTTCTACCAGTTGGTCATCGTTACGTATGACATCGCGATGGACCTCAAACCAAAGATGGCGGTATGTGGGTTACCATGCAGCATGGGCAGTCGGTCGGTTCGTCGGACGTCGCGGTTTCCCTGCCGTAGCATACATCCGGTATTACATCGCCAGCAGAGCAATTTCCAGCGTCGCGCGAGACTGTATCGATAATCGATCCTAGTGTAGTGGAGGAGTAGAGGAGAGAGGTGTAAGGGAGGGGAGGGGAGGGAAAGGGGAGGGGGCAGGAGGGAGGGAGGAAGAGGAGGGTGAGGCGTAATTCGTATGTGTAATGTGTATCCGGCGGGGTCCCTGATAGCGATTATGTTGTGTGGGGTGACGTAAAGTGCCTCATTGATTCCTTTCGGATAGCCGTCTCCCGGCACGTCTAAACTGTCGTAATATATGTACAACCTTTGGTGTTTACGCTCCGTACGGCTATCTACGGCAACGTGCGGTCGCCCGCTTCTCCCTCCCGTACGTTTGCGGCCGCTAAAGCGGGAGGGGGAACTTCTGAACCTTCCGCTTGTTGATCCTGGTGTTCGAGTCGCCGTAAGCAGACTGCACGTACTGCGGAGACGGAAGCCACGAGCGCTTCCCCGCATCGATAGGATGAGGAGGCTTGGCGAGGATCAATCAAGCCTCCGCTGCTGTGCTGCTGCTGCTGCTGCTGCTTGGTGTGGTGTGCTGCGCGCTGCTGCTGCTGCTGCTTTGCTGTGCTGCTGCTTTGTGTGCCTGGCTCGCTGGTGCGCTGCTCTGCTTGCTTGGTTGGTGCTGGTGCTGCTGGCTCAGCTTGGCTGGCTGCGGCTGCTGGTGGTGCTGCCGCCGCTTTGCTGCTTGCGCTGTCTGCTGGTGCTGCGCTGCTGCTGCTGCGACTGGTGGGCTGCTACTTAGCTGCTTCGCTCTGCTGGCTGCCTCGCTGCTGGGCTGCTGCTGCTGCTGCGCTGGGCCTGGTTGTGCTCGCTGCTGGTGCTCTGCGCTGTGGTGCTGGTGCTCGCTGGCGCTGAGCTGCTCTGCTGCTTGCGTGTGCTGACGCCGCTGCTTTGCTGTGCTTGCTGCTGGTGCGGCTGCTTCATCGGTGCTGCTGCCTGCTTTGCTGCCGGCGCGCTGATGCTGCTGCTAACTGGTGGCGCTGCCGCCTGCTCTGCTCCGGCCGCGCGCGCTGCCGTGCTGCTGCTCAGCTTGCTTGGTACTCTGCTGCGCTGGCTGCGCTGCTGTCGCTGCTGGGCACTGGTGCTGCTGTGCTTGCTGCGGCTGGTGCGCGCCGACTGCTGCTGTCTTGGGCTGCTTGCTCGCGCTGCTATGCTCGCTGCTGCTTCTGCCGCTGGCCGCCGCTGATCGCCGGCCTGCTGCTTCGCGGCTGGTTGCTTGCTGCTGCTGCTATGCTGCTGCTGCCGGCGGTGGTGGTGTGGTGGTGGTGTGTGTGTGGTGTGGTGGGGGGGGGCTAGTGGGTGGGGTGGTGGCTGACGCTGCTGCTGAGCTAGTACTACTACTACTACTACTGTTGCGCGCTGCTTGCTGGCTGCTGCGCGCTGCTGCTGCTGCTGCCTTGCTGCTTGCTTGCTGGTGGTGGTGGTGGTGCGGCGGCGCTGGAATGAGTCATCCATACATCACTCAGCCAGTCACCTCCACTGAACGAACGAGCGAGGCGACCGCGAGTGATGTGAGCGAGGGCGAGGGGCATTGCATCCGACACCGACGCGCAAACAGAGTGAAGAGAGTATCGTGCGCGCACGAGAGAGAGCGGATATATATATATATACGTACATACATACATTTAAATGTGCTCGCATCTGATTCTATTTACTAGGAGGACATCTTGACGGCGCGTCGACTTAACGCGTAAGTAAGAGAGGAAGGGAGCGAGGAAGAGAGGAAGGGAGCAGAGGAAGAGAGGAAGGGAGCGGAGGAAGAGACAGGGGGCGGACTCTCGTCGGGTCTGGTGTGTGGATGTGTGTGTTGTGTGTGTGTGTGTGTGCGTGTCGTGCGTGCGTTGCGCGGTGCGTAGCGCGTGCATGCGTGCGTGCGTGTGTATGTATGTGGGTGTGTGTGTACGTGTGTGTTGGTGCTGTATGTCAAAATGGTGAAGGTGGGAGAAGGAAAGACAGAAGAGAGGCGAGAGACGAGCAAATGAGAGAAGAAGAAGAGAGAGAGGAGAGTG